ATTCATTGCTACTCATTTCTTGGCTGTTTATTTTAGTTTCCAAGTGCCCTGTACATTTTAACAATATCGTTCACCAGAGAAGCAGTGAAATAAATGGGGGGGGAGGGGGCACAGTTAACCAGAAGACGAAAGAGTGACACATAAGCTGTAGCAAAAGGACACATTTCCTTCTTTTCTCTTTTTGTCATTTTCCCAAGATGTTTTGTGCATGTGTTTTGATAAAAACTGTCTTAGTTATGTTTAGTTTATTATGTATATGTTAACTATTGGAGCCCTTTTCTTCAAATGGAAGATGTTTCGAAAGCACACCTTTCTCTTCAGTGTGTCCATATAGTTAATCTAATGTTCTCAAAAAATTTTACAGCTTTATAGTCATAGGGGAATTCTGTTTATTGTACAAATATTTCTAGGCACCAGGCACATGCAATGCATTGAGTAATTAATGGCAAATAAAGTAGATATGGTCACTGTCTTCAGGGAGTTAGATACTATATAAATAAATACAAAGAGAAATTGAATTGCAAAATTACAGAAATCACTACATAGGTAAGTAATAGAGTCCCTAAAACTATGCCCTGCTTTCCATTGGGAGGGTTGGGTTGAGGGTGTTAAGGAAAGAGAAGGCTTGAAGATTAGAGTCAGCCTGGTAAAGACTGGGGGAACAAACATACTGGACTGAGGAAACAGCATGTGCAAAGTTCCTGAGGCATCTTATAAACCATATTATTAGAAGGGAGGCGTGACCGTTGATAAAAACAATTATAGGTGAACTCTGTGAGCCCAACAATGTGGCACTATTTAGCATAGAGGCACATCACCCTCCATATAGTCCAACACTCAGAGCTTCACAAAAGTGCAGTTATAGAAACTGATGCCTATGAATCACTGGGAAATGGATGGATTTATTCAATGAATTATGTAGTGAGGCATTTAGAGAGATTTTCATGTGAGACAGTAAAGTTTTAAAAAGTCACTTCTGTGTTTAAAGATGGAACCTTCACTATCTGGAGAAATCATTTACTAAAAAAATAGGATTCCATGATAGCCGTGGGTACATGACATAATGCTGTGTTGTCTTTTCTGTTTCTTCTCTATTACTTTTTCAGGCTTGCCACCTGATACAGAGGTATCCATAAAGGCATAATTTTACTGAGAGATGATAGTTATTTATTTTGAAGTAAATAGATGTCTTACACTGAACCGATTTTTGTAATCCAGAAACCAGTGCTAAATTCATGTGAAGTTAACACTCTGACTTTTCAATATTATCTAAAGCATCTGTAGAACTCCACATTGCCCTCTTCTTCTGAACACCAATCATTTACATTTACTTTTGAGCTGCAGTCAGACTAAGAGGTTAAATTAAAATCTTGATGTTTTAGGCCTTCGTGATTCTCTGCTAACCTTGCTAGAGGACTGCGTGTTTCCGTGAAGGAACGCCTGTCCACTTAGCCATGGTTCTGCAGGTATTTTGCCAGGGTTGCTGTGTTCTCAAATACTTTTGTGTACAGTAAAGCAATTTCTTCATAATCAGTAAACTCCTCAAGAGCAGGAATCGTGAATTACCTACTTGTATTTCTTTCCACATGTACCTGGCATAGTTTTTACAATATAATCCATAACTTATTGACTGGTAACTTCATTGATTTACTTCTTAATATATCTAGCTTTTCTTAAATGTGTACAACTTAAAAGAATCTGTTATAATGCTAAACTTTAAGTTATCCAAGTTATTGGTACAGTTGTCCAAGATATCAAAGACCAAATGAGCTGGTTTATGGACCACTCAGACCATTTAGTTTTCATTTTTTCTGTCTCTGCCTCAGGCCATTGTCATAGCTTCCTAGGACCTCCGACAGCGAACAACAAGTCAAAATTGATTCATGTCAAGATGGAGACTAAGTCCAAACATCTATTGGATGATTTTAGTTAATCCCCTTGTCTCTCTCTCACCTGTATTTTTCAGGATAAAATGAAGCAGTTTTTAGTTGATGCCTTTTGTGTTACATATGCCAAATTTTTTAAGACATAAAAAATATAGAGACCCTATTGTGTCATACTAGTATTGTTTTTGATAGCAGATTTTAAAAAATAGACTGATATATGTTAAGGAAGAAATAGAAATAATGTTTTGGGGCAGTTGGCCTTTGCTACAGTACCGACAGTGTGTGCATTCTTTGTCTAATTAACCTATGTAGAGCACGAAACTTATTTACTGCTATGAATAAAATTTCTGAAATCACCATAAGTGTAAGGCTGTCATTACCCCAAGTTATTAGTGGAAGGGACTGTTTATTCTTTTTCAGAAACAGAGGGTCGAGGTGTTGGGACTGGTGCTCCATCATGACCTCCAAACGAACAGAATGTACAGAGGCCATTAAGAATATTTGATTTCGTTGGGGTTCATAAATTGTCATGTTTCTCAGTCCTTCCACCTCCTGGAGTGTCTTCTTGGGGGATCCTCACATGTTCAGTTTGGAGCAGAGAATGCCTCTTACTAGGTGACCGAGACTTGTTAAAATCGGCTTCTTTGCAGCCTGACTGCCAACCAGGAAGACCTTCAGAGAGGAGTAAGGCTTCATTTTTTTTCTGGGCAGAAATGTTAGGTTTAAAGACTGTGGAAGCTGACTGTTTCAGTCATTTGCTCCTGCTTTTATTATTTGATCAACATAGATTTTAGGGACAGTAATAGTAAAAGAATTTTAGGCTTCTTTAGGCATAGTAGTCAACTCAAAATGTCCTAAAGCTTGTGCAGGCAGCACATGGTGAGTATAGGTCCAGACTGCCGATATATGGAAGAGAAAGAAAAAGACTTAAAAAAAAGTTGTATCCCATACTCAAGAATACAGCTCTTGCCCTGGCCAGTTGGTTGGAATGTAGTCCCATAGACCAAAAGGTTGCAGGTTTGATTAACGGTCAGGGCACATGCCTGGGTTTCAGGTTCAATTCCTGGCCGGGGCGTGTGTAAGAGGCAACCAATCGATGTCTCTCTCTTTCTCTTTACCTCTTTCTCTCTCTCTCTCAAATCAATTTTAAAAACAGTTCCTCAGGTGAGGATTAATAAAAAATACATTTCTTATTTATGTAGTCTGAACAGCAAGCAATCTGGCCAAAAGGAAGACATACACCATTTCTTGGCTTATTTTCCAGGAAACCAGGAAAGCTTCTATACCCATTTTTACCCCCCCCTACCCCTTAGCCCCACAGAGAGAGAGACCTATAGCTTGAATATGAAGGAGTGTTTTTGAAGAAGCACCTTTGTGTATTCTTTACGGCATGATATTAAAGCATGAAAAAAATACTGTTAAAAAAAGCTGTCGTAAGATATACATAACAAAATTTACCATTTTAACCATTTTTAAGTGTGCAGTTCAGTGGCACTGAGTACATTCACGTTGATGTTCAGCCATCACTACCATCCATCTCCAGAAGTTCATCTTCCCAAACTGAAACTCTACCCATTAACACTAACTCCTCATGTCCCTTTCCCCTCAACCCCTGACTTTCTGTCTTTATGAAGTTGATTATTATAGGTACCTAATGTAAGTGGAATTGTACAATTTTTGTTCTTTTGGAACTGGCTTATTTCACTTACTGTAACATCTCAAGGTTCATCCATGTTATAGCACGTGTCAGAATTTTCTTTCCTTTTAAGGCTGAGTAATATATATACACACACGCCACAATGTATGTATCGTCATTCATCAGTAGACACTTGGGTTGCTTCCAGTGTTCGACTGTTATGAATAATGCTGCTGTGAATATAGGTGTACAAATACCTGTTTGAGGCTTTGATTACAATTCATTTGGATATATATCCACAACTGGAATTTTTTAAGGAACTGCCATACCGATTTCACAACAGTTAGGCTGTTATATATTTCTACCAGCAGTACAAAACATTTATTTTCAACTTTTTCAATAATAGTCACTTTACTATGTACAAAGTGGTATCTGTTTGTGGTTTTGATTTGCATTTCTCAATGATATATGATACTGAACATCTTTTCATGTGCTTATTGGCTAATTGTGTAACTTTGCAGAGTCTATTCAAACCCTTTGTACATTTTTTAATTGGGTGGTTTATTTTTGTTGTTATTGAGTTATAGGAGTTCTTTATGTATTCTGGACATTAATTTCTTATCAGATATATGACTTGCAAATGTGTTCTCTCTTTCTTTGAGTTGTCTTTTTACTTTGTTGGTCATATCCTTCAATGTATAAAAGTTATATATTTTTAAATGTTTTTATTGATTTCAGAGAAAGGAAGGGAGAGGGAGAGAGAGAGAAACATCAGTGATGAGAGAGAGCCATTGATTGGCTGCCTCCTGCACGCCCCCTGCTGGAGATCGAGCCTGCAAGCTACGCATGTTCGCTGGATCATAGGTTGACGCTCAACCACTGAGCACCCTGGCTGGGCTAAAAGTTATACATTTTGAAGCCGTTTGGTTTACTTATTTTTTTTTGTTTTCTGTGCCATATCCAAGAAGTCATTGCCAAATATAATGCCATGAAGCTTTCCCCTATGTTTTCATCTAAGAGTTTGATAGTTTTAGCTCTTACGTTTAAGTCTTTGGTCCATTTTGAACTAATTTTTATATGATGTAAGACAAGACTCTGACTTCATGATTCTGCATGTAGATATCCAGTTATTCTAGCATTTTTTGTTGAAACCACTGCTTTTTTAATTAGTAAAAACGAAATCTTCTTTGTTTTGTTGACTTGATACTACATCTTGGTGTAATATCTTATGATATCAATCAATATCTTCTAATATTCTATTAGAAAACCCAATAGAAAATAATAAATTTGTATATGCACGCATTAAGTTAATTTGGGCATTGGTAAACTCTGCCGGAGTGGTGCTAATTCGATGGAAATAAATAAAACATTGTACGTGACTTTCTCTGGATAACGCCTTTGTAAAATTGATGGATATATGTGCATCTTGAAAAGTGTCTCAAGCTAATACGAGCTGGATGTTTGTGCTTCGTGCCCAGGCATGGAAGAGGAGGTGGTTCGTGTTGCGCAGCGGCCGTTTGACTGGCGATCCAGACGTCCTGGAATATTACAAACATGATCACGCCAAGAAGCCCATCCGCATCATCGACTTAAATCTCTGTCAGCAAGTCGATGCTGGATTAACATTTAACAAAAAGGAGTTTGAAAACAGCTACATTTTTGATATCAACACCATTGACCGGATTTTCTACCTGGTGGCAGACAGTGAGGAAGAGATGAATAAGTGGGTCCGTTGTATTTGCGACATCTGTGGGTTTAATCCTACAGAAGAAGGTAAGGTCGGGTCTTTGTTACTCAGCCTCTCTCCTTTATTACTACAGTTTTAGGACTGTTACAGAATTTTTTATTTCAGTTACACAACATAATACTTGGGATTTTTTTTTTTATAATAATGATAACATTTGGAGAAAGCAGCTAAACCCTTTAATCAGTCTGGGCAGAAACTTTTTATAGGTTTTAAAAAGAAAAATGTAACCATTGTGGGGCAATGTCTAAATAAATGTCCTTAAGAAGAAGGTGACAAGAAGACATACTATTTCAGAGCCTTTCTTGAATTCCTATATAAATGTGAAGTTGAACCTTAGAACACTGCTGTTTTTGACTGTTTTTGACCTATTAAAAGCAGCATTTTCATGTGGCTCAACTTAACTCTTTAGTTATTTTTTAAACTATGTTGCCATGGCATTTAGCGTACCTATGAAAAGCAAGTGAGAATCAATCACAGAATGTGATGAAAAAGTAATAAACCAATGAGTTTACCTGCCACAGGGGTAAGAGGGGGCTCAAGGTTTACATAAGAAAGCTTCTCAGAGGAAGATAAATTGTAAATTGTAGACTTTTGAAGGGAGTAGAATTTCTACATTAGTGAAAAGCGGGATACAGAACCCTCCAGGCTTAGGGGCTAGAGAGAGGAAGGACCAAGAGGAGGAATCGAATTCTGCTTGACTCCAGAGGGCAAGGCGAGAGTTGCTTGAGGATCTGAGATTTGGGGTGCCTGGCGTGCAAAGAGGCCTCAGGAAGAATTTTACGAGTGGAATTCCTCTCCAGGTGCATTTATGTAGCTGTCCTGACCACATATTCCCTGTCCACTTCTCTTCCTTGTCAAGCAAACACTAAGAACCTACACAAGCGACTCCAATACAAAGTTCGGTTTGCAGGACCAAGAATCAGGAATAATGTCTTTGACCCTATTGTCTTCAGGGTGATACTCAAGTTCACAAGTGTGAGTTTCCAAATATCTATATTTAGGAGTGCTGGAGATTCAGCAAGGGGTGGAAAAACTATTAACAATCAACATCAAGTTTGGGATTGAAGTGAAACAGTAATCATCTCTGATTAGCTCAGGTCAGCATGCTGTTTCCTCTCTGGCCAGTCAGCAGCCCAGGAGAAGGGCCTTCCAGGGCTGGGGTTGGCCCAGTGGGGTCGGGGAAACCCCTTGGTAAGGACTCCAGAATGCCCAAGGGAACAGCGCAGAGAGAGGGAGGAGGCGCCCCGCTTAGACAGGAGGCGGCTAGTGAACGAGAGCCCTTCACCCTTCACCAGAGCTCTAGCGATGAAAAGCCTCAAGACGGTGTTTCATGTGGGGAGTTAAGGCTTCAGCTGTTTTTGTGAAGTTATTAAATGTGTTCACATTTTAAGTAGGTGAGGGGTATTATTTCTAACTCCAGTTAAACTGCTTTCCTTTCTTGTTTGCATATGTAGTCTGTATTTGAGTGCAGTGGAGGATTTTAAAGTTAAAGACACAAATGAGATAGCTTTTTATTTAATGGTTACTTAACAACCACTCAGTAATGAAAATTATTGGATTTGGATACCACATTAAATTTGTTATGTGATGGATTTTCAGTTAAAATAATTTAAGTCGTTGTACAATCTTTTTGTTGGTATTCTTTGCCTGCTGCCTTTTCAATTTAGAATTTGTTTGGGAGACATAAAGGTAGACTTCTGTCCCCATTGGTTGCTTGTATAGATTCGACTGATCTGAAAGACTAAGTAGGTGTTCTTCCATCTCTCTTTGTTTTCTTTATTATTCTCCTGAATATATTTAACAAAAGAAATGAGATGCCCCCCTTAGAGGAGCTACATTTTTCAGTTAAGGAATATGATTGTCTAGTTTTTGGAAGCCCATTTGGGGGTGAGTAGTGTTGAGAACCCCACAAATTAGAATTTCTAATGCTTGTCCTGGCCAGTGTGGCTCAGTTGGTTGAGGATAATCTTGTGCACTGAAAGGTCGCTGGTTCAATTCCCAGTCAGGGCACATGCCCAGGTTGCGGACTGGATCCCGGATCAGGGTGAGTGTGGGAGGCAGCCAATCGAAATTTCTCTCTTTCTCTCTCTCTCTCTCTCTCTGCCCCTCCCTCTCCCTCTTTCTCGGTCTCTAAAATCAATAAAAACATATTATTTAAAAAAAAAAGAATTTCTAATGCTCAAGTGTTCCAGATTAATTTTGTAAGTTTTAAGGCATGGCATCTGGTCCATTTGTCCACTTTATTATGATTCTTACCACCTGGGACCTTGATGAACACCCAGTCACCTCTGAGAAGAAGAAAAGTTTTGTCTGAATTTGCCAGCACTCTACTAGGCTTTGAGCATTTACTCAACCAATATCTACTGGGTGTCTAGCTAGGGAGACAGATGGCCGACATTAAACACACAGAATGAGCATCTAGTGGGAGAGGACTCGTGCCCAAAACAATTTATTAGTTGATGAGTGCAAGATTATATATATTTTTCACATACATATATAAAATTATACTTTAAAATGTATTTAATTTATATAATGTGTATTTGATAAAGTATTAATATGTAATATTAAAATATAATTAACATGCAATATTAAAGAATGCTACTGGGGTACTGTCTTAATACAGTTCTTGCCCTTGTGGAGCTTGCTGTCAGTCTAGTAGGAGAGACAGGAAGATGACCTAGGAATTATATACCTGTTGATAAGTAGTCTGCTGAAGAAAAAAATACGGATAGATAGCAGCTGATTTAGTCTTAAGAGGGTGAGGAAAAGCACAGGTAGATCTGCCGATTACCTAGACCTGTCCCCGTGAGCCCTATGCTCTTCCCATTTCAGAGAGTTGAGTTTTAAATGGCTCTGTGACTATAGATAATGTACTGAGACCTTTATTTTTGTACTTAGCAGAACATTTTCTTTGTAGTCAGAACTCATCACAATGTCTTTGCCTATTTTCACTTTATAAACTTACCACTTTCGGGAGAGGGGGAAGTTCCGAAACTTGAAAAGTACACTGACCTCTTCAGTGACCAAACTCCCAAATCCCTATAAAACAGATTAGAAGTGAATCTCAATTTGTGAACTTTTTATCTTCACAATATCCATAAAAGGGGAGGTTGTAAGAAAATGCATAGTATGATTAAGCAAATTTGATATATATAATCTGAGTTGGTTACCAAGAACAACCATGCTAATCGCAAATCATTTTTATCTGTTCATTGAAACAGGCCCCTAAGGACTTCAATTTGCCAACGCTTTCTAAATTTAGTTCATAAGCTGTATCTAAATGTAACTGCATTTATTTATTTTAATTCTACAATTTAGATATTTTACAAGTTTATCCTGGCCATCCTTCAAATAGCCAGTTAGAAATGTCTGACTATACTGTGTTGAAGACTTGAGTTTCTTGGAAGAAATCAGTAAAAAATGAACAATCCTTCATTGTATAGTATCAAGGAACCACAAAAATATTTTATTTCACTCTATAATTTGGGGTTTTGATGCATAGCAGCTAAACTGCAAAAAAAGGTTTTAAGATCAACCACTGTATTTCCTTATTCATTTGGAGTAGCTGACTTTGCTAGGTGCCCTTTTTTAAAAAAATCTACACATTTGAAGATTTGTACCAAATTCTAAACCTCCGAGAACTGCTGTTATCCTCTGTGATTATATTCATACAGTTTAATATGACAAGGTAAATATCAAAATGTCTTTACTGCCTGCTTTATATTCTCTTGCTTCCAAATAGGTCCCCCCTCCAATCACTAAAGAGGTGTTTTTGTTTTTACCTAGATCTCTCCCCTGAGCCTTGTGCTTTTTCCATTTCAGAGAGTTGAAGATGCTCCCACTCTTGGCTTAAAACTGATAACACAAAATGATATTTCATTATACTAGTTCAGGCTAGACATGGGAAGAAGTAGACTCTGCTTGGATATTATAGTCTGAGAAAATAACTATTCCCAGTCCCTAGGAGAATAACTAATTTTCTCCTGAAAACAAAAGGAAAGGGGAAAACTCTGACCTGTGTTTTGATTCCAGGAACCTCTCAAAATATCGTTACCATGTTATTTCCGCTGCCCCAGGTGACCACAGCTATTATTGACTACTCAGAATGCTGGCATACTGAATCTGTTTTTAAATTTCAGCTGGTTGAACTGTGTGTGGTTCCTATGAATGTTTTTATTTAGTAGGTTTGAGGGTAAAAACTAATTTCTTTTGTTTTTCTTGGAAATGGGCAGATTTATTTTTGTTTCTACACCGACTTGGAAGCTGGTAAGTCTGCTGAACAAGTGCCGGGAAGCACACACAGCCTAGGGCTCGTATGCAGCCAGCTCCTGGTCTAATTTTAGGATGTGCCGTTAGAAAGCTGCCTCTTATCGGTTGAGTAGCTTTTCTCAACATGCCTAGGTAATAGTGGCTTAGAAAGAATAGTGTGATTCTCTGTTTGATTTTCTTCTCTTTGGGAAAGTAGGTTAGTAGAGTGTATGATTTCTGACCACTGTTTTGTACAACTGAAACTAATACAAAAAATGTAAAAAAAAAAATAATTAGAATAAAAGTAGGTTAAACTAACATGTGAGAGTATACATGTGCTCTCTTTCCTGTAAAGTGGTGTTTCTTTTTTTTTTTTTTAATCTTTAGGGATTTTATTGTTTCACTTTTAAATTTTATTTTTCTTTAAAATATTACAGATGTCCCTTTTTCTCCCCAATGACCCACTCCACTCTGTCCCACCCCCCTCCCCAGTCCCTCTCCCCACCATTGTCCCTGTCCCTGGGTTGTGCGTATCTGCATATAAATTCTTTGGTTACTCTCTCCCCCTCCACCCACCCGCCTTCCTCCATCTCTCTGACATTCCTCAGTCTCATCCATGCTTCCATGTCATTGAATCTATTCTGTTCATCAGTTTATTAAGTTCTTTAGATTCCACATAGTAGTGTTTCTTAATTAGGGAACTTTTAAATTTCTTTTTATTCATTATTTTTTACTTGGGTATCACTCATTACTATGAAAAAGCACAGAACTTAAGTGT